ATATATAGTTATATTGGCTTGCTGGAAAAGTTATGACACATTTTTGCATAGAAAAATACATCATGACTTTCCTGATAACCTAATAATATGTAATTATATACAATGATATATAACCTAGCATATATATAGTTATATATACAGTTGACTTGCCCATTCAAGATGTGAAGATTATGCTTTTATTGAGAAATTCTTAGAACTTCCTCACTAGAGGAAAACGATTGAGAGGGAAATCTAGGGTATACAAAGGAGGAGACTTATAATTTAAAATTTCAGATTTGGGTAATTTTGTATTTGTCAAGTTAGTAATAAAATATACTAATAAAAGCATCAAAGAAACAAGGATACCATGTGACTAGTTTTTTAAAAACCTAGAACTTAGACTTGCAAAGGAGCCCAAGAATAGTTATTACTGCAGATTAGCTTAGATAAGAAATAGATCTCAATGTGTTTTAAACTCAGCTTTAGGATGCTATTAAAGGAAGCACAAGAAAACATGACACTTAAATATGTACTATGTGGCAGGTAAATTATTATGAATTAAGCTCATTTGTGGCTTTCGTATAAACAATAGCTAACTTGTTTTTAAGAGGCTTCAGTACTCTTCAGACGATGGAAGTGACTGAATGACAACAGGATGATGGTCACTCTCATACAGGAGGAGAAGCCATGCTATGGGGATGGAAATGGAATGAACTACACACAGGAAGAAAAAGCACTTGATGAAGAGCACATGGTTATTACCTAATGTTGTCCCAGGGGTCACCATCATAAAAGTAACAGGTTCAAGGCCTGTAACAGGAACTGAAGTAATAAAATAAGAGTAAGCTCCTTGAAAACTGTAAGAGGATAACAGCTACTCAGAATGTCCTCACCAGAGGGCATGTGCATTAACATTTTCAATGACTGACTCCTTAACCCAAGGACTGGTATTTATCTGGTATAGACTCAGTTGCATAAAGTGGTTAGACTTGGAGTTGTTATAAATTTGTGTTTGTGTTCATAGATAGAAAAAGGTAAAAGTTATTTTGAAGCTTATGGCTCTGCAAATTATAGAGCTTTGAAAAGCCTTTGTTTTCCAAAACTTGATATATTTTCTTACATTTCAGAAAATGTATCTTTCTAATGTGGAATTTTTGTCCCCTACTATGCTACTATATATATTCTGCTGTTGTTGTTATTGAAGATATTTTAGGGGCAAAATGAACATATACAACAAAGTTATTAATTCAGAGTCAAGACTGGTATTTTTAGCATAATCTCCTGGAGTTCTCTGACAGGATTAAAAAAGTCAAGAATCAGTTAAACTGTGATGGAGAGGAAAGGGAGTCAGATTCATGCTAAGGATAATGCTTTAAACTTATCAGCTCTAATCACATTGAGTTTTAGATAGTCCAGTAAAAACATACTGTGCGAATATTAACGAAACAACAGAAATAATAGGCAGGTGAAAAGGTAGATATACGAAGGAGGCATAAAGAAATTTCCCTATTACAACTTTGATAGCACAGATCAGGGTCAGACACTCCCAGAGATACATGAAATTTACCTTAACAGAGACCTCCGGTTAAGTAAAAAACACGTGGCATAATTTTTTTTTTTAAACTAAGTTATATAGCAGAAAGATATACCAAATTAGACTTAGGCATGACTTTCTTGTGAAGACAAGGCAACTTGTTTTATGCATATTAACTGACATAGAAGGAAGAGTGCCATCGAATGACAACATAGAGTAGAAAGGATTTGATAGTGAGCAGATAAAGCACTTGCTGGAAGTCAGAAAGTGGTGTTACCTAAGGCTGTCACCGGAGCCTCTCTTACTGGAGTAACTGGTTCAAAGACTGTGGAAGGCACTGGCCCAAATACTAATTAAAAAAAAAAAAACAAAACACACACACACACACAATGACTAAGACATTACAAATGTATAAAAATGCAGAATGTTTACTTGAAAAAGATTTTATCAGTAATATGATGTGTTAGACCACCAAGTCAACACAATTGACCTTCTGAACCAAGGAACTACAATGTCCACCTTAGAAACCAACTTCTGTCTTTGGAGGGTGAGCCATTGACACTATTTTCAGACTGTGACCCATGTGGAGTGTCCCTGGAGTTTTTCTCACTCTGATGATCTGAGCATTTATTTGATACTCTAATCTTTCATTCATGATTAGGCTTTGATGATCTAACATACTGGTCTTGCTGAAAACTCATCTTCAGAAAAGATATCATGAGCTTGAGCTGGTTTGGGTACTGAGAACAGGGTAAAGGGCAGCCACTCAGACTGGAAGATCACAGGGCATCCTTCTGTCCAACACCCAGAGGAAATCTGATCACGTATGGATAATAATGACTTCTAAATGAAACACAACTCTGAAGGTCAACACTCTAAATCTCTTCTCAAAAGACCCTACCCAGCTGTTTAGCTGCAGCAGCCTCCTCAGTGAAATGTTCCAGTCAACACCTGGAAGCCCAACAGCTTGACTGGTTGGTTGAGACTCTACCTCTTCTATCTCGTGTCCATATTTTCTTTCTTTCTGAACTTTTCCATCATGCTTCTCTCATGATTTTTCCCTAATAATGGTTTTCCTGATTTTTAGTGTCGGGGAAGGAAGAGGAAGAAGCAAAAACATGGGGGGACCAGCAGTTAGCGTAATGGCTATGTCGCTGGACTCCCATGTAGTCGACTGTGGTTTGTGTCCTGGACCTGGGGGCTTAAAACTCACACTGGGTGCGTGTGCGTGTGTGCCCAAGATCCCAAGAGGAGGACGGGGGAGGAGAGGGGATTGTGGCGTGGCCATCTCCCCTGGGGGGTGATTTCTTGCTTTCTGTCTGTCTATGTCTGTCTGTCTGGCGAGCGCACGTGCCCTATAGCAAAAACCTCTCCAAAAAAAGAAAAAGAAGCGAAAACAAAAAAAAGAAGAAGTAGCAACAGAGACTATACGGCCTGCAAAACCAATAATGTTTACTGCCTGGACTTTTAAGAAAATGTTTGCAACTCCTGCCCTCTGACCATATTATAACGTTGTAACTTTCATAGTTACCAGGAACTAACCTGCCATTTGCACAAAAATACATTTGTGCTCTGTTTCAGTTACCATACTTGCTCCGTATTTGAAAGCCTGGACTTTTAAGAAAATGTTTGCAACTCCTGCCCTCTGACCATATTATAACGTTGTAACTTTCATAGTTACCAGGAACTAACTCCTTATTTGAAAGATGAGTAGAATTAATTGAGAAGCAAATTAAATAACCATTAAGAAAAAAGAGCATAAGGAATTCTGTGGCTCCAGCATCTCCTCAACCCTATTCTGGTTGCCTGGTGTGGAATCAGCCGCTGAGTCTGACTGGCCAGCTTACTTTCTTTGAACCTCACTGACATGGGCTATTAGGGTTCCTTAACCAGCACCTATGTGTTTACCCAGTTCCGTGTGAGGGGCTTCAGGGCTTGGTGTGGCTTTAGGTTTGGGACGTGGACGTCGAGTTCGCTGAGGCACTTTGGGAGCTAAAGGAAAAAAACCTCAGGTTAATGCAGTGTTTGGGTTCCAGAAGCTTGAACAGGATTATACTTGTTATTATTCTTCGAGTTACAGGAAATTGTTCTTTTGAAAATTTGCCTTTACTTTGATAATATGCCTCTTTCATTCCCTTTTTTCTAAAGACTCAAAATCACACATACATGAGTCAATATACCAAGGATATTCCCAGGACAGTCCCTCAGGGATTCCTGAGTGAAAAAAATCTTGCTGAGTTGTGGTGGTAGCTGAGGTAGGTGTAGAGTGATTTCATAGGAACCATGGTGCTTATAATTTAAATTTACTAGCCTTGGAATATTTTCTATTTTATCTTTACTGAAACAAGATCATATTACTTAACATGGCAAAAGAAAAACAAAACAAAAATTGGGCCGATAGTAAAAATGCAGGGATTTAGAACAATGTCACACAATAATAGCTGAGCCAAGTTAGTTAGTCTAGACCAGGGATAGACACCCTCTCCCCAAACCCCTACTGATTTCATTTGAAACTCACTAACAAAGAATGTGATTACTGCGCTCCATGTGAGCAAGATACTGCAGAATCAAAGGTGTCACACATTGCCGACATGTCTACCCAACTAAGCGCATGCTCTTAAAAACAAAAAAAATTATCTTAATACTTTTCAACATATTAAATAACTGAATGATAGAGGACGACACACAAGTCTTGTGAAATGGGAGAAGCTGTCATGGTGGTAGTGACACAATGGACTGCAAATGAGCAGGAAGAACATGCCGACGGTCATGATGTGCCATTACCTAGAGTCGTCCCTGGAGCCTCCGTTCTAAGAGTAACTGGTTCGAGGGTTGTGGCAGGAACTAACCAAAAATAATAAAAGAAATCAGAGATTTTGTGAATGTATAAAATGTTGGAAGTTTATCTTAGCAGTAAAAATAGGGTTTCTAAAGCTGTGGTGCTAATTTTTAATATTCGTCACTCAATAAAGTGTAAGCATGTATTTCTTTGACTATTTCTCTCAACTTTAACCAGGTGTTCAGTTGATTCAGGAGCTATCAGTCTCTGCTCTGCTTATTCTCTGCAGAGCATCTCACTGAAATCAACAGTACGGTCTCAATATTGGTTAATTATCTGACTGGAATTAACATGAGTACCATATACTCAAAAATTTGGTTAGTCATTTTCTTAGAAAAAGAATGGCAAAGAGAAGTCACACTTTTGTGGAAGCCAACAACAGAAGAACACTCACTATAAGCAGTAATCATCAATGAGGGATGCAATAAACAGTACATGTGTTTGAAAGTAAGTGAATGTGGCTGACAGACCCTATGGTGATCCCTGATCATTCCCATACAATGTTCACACCTGTGTAATCCCCTTCCCTTGAGTGTGCTGAACCTGTGTAACCTGCAACTGACCAGCAGAATAAGGTAGAGGTGATGGGTTGGCACTCCCTCGATTAGGAGAGAGTGAGGGAGAGAGAGAGTCTGCCCACCATGCTAGCACAGGGGAGGGGAAGAGAGAGGGTGGGTGAAAGAGAGAGGAGAGAGAGAGGTTACAAGGAGGGAGGGAGAGAAGGAGTATAGGGAGACAATGAAGTAAATGAAAGTGTCAAAACAAGAAAGGAATTCTTGGAGTTGCCCTAGGGTTTGTCCACCACACATAGTAATAGACAGTCAAAAGAAGCAGAAACTATGCTTGTTAAGAAATATTCCTCAGTAAATACTGCAGAACTTAACATAAAATGAAGAACCACCTCTCAGTTGTGCAATCATTAGACTGAGTGTCTTCAGTTCTAAGAACAGAAAAAGCAAGTTTGTGGGCAGAAGTAGGTATCACCGAAGACCACGGGACCAAATTCAGCTCTGAGGTAGACATCCTGTCCCTCTTTAATTCATCCTGTGATCCCACACACCAGGAGCATATCGACAGCCTAGCAGGTGGGGGTTCCAGCTTCAACACATACTCTATCTGTCAATTGCTGCTCCCTCAGCTCTCCACTTGCCTAAATTCTCTATTTATTTCTTCCTAATTGTCTTGGTTCTTTTTCTCCTCTGAATATTTACTATGCTCTTAAGCATTTGCACCATTCAGAAAATGATCTTCTATTTGCATAAATGTCCTGCCTTGTGTTTCTGTCTGCCTCTTTGTGCAGAGACAACTTTTGTTGCATTATGGTGCAAATTGGGGAATAAAACACACCTCCTACTTTGGATGTGTAAGCAAAAATAGTTTTGGGAAATCTGAAGGGCCTTAGTACAATAGTTGATTTGAACTGACTATGCTGGCTCAATACTTCAATGAGCAACTTTAAGACATAAATGGGAACAAATATTAAGGCAAGTAAATAAAGTATTATTGATAAGGAAGATCCCCAAGAAGAAAGCACAGTTGCTCTGCTATCTCACGTTCTCCTCACTTACCACGAACTGTCAAGAATTATACAGGGTGTGTCCCTGTATATCGTTAAGTGCATAGAATTCAGGGTCCCAACTGGGGTATACTGCTTAGCTATTTAAAACCAGAACCCACATATTTACCCAGTTTGATTTGAGAAACTTCTGGATGGGGAGTGATTTTAGGTTTGGGTCGTGGACGACGGGTTTTTTTTGTTGTTGTTGGAGCTGAAGGAAGAAAATATAGGATTAATATGACATGAATGACTTCATGTACTGTGAATAAATGTCTTTTAAAATTTTCTAAATCTTGTTAGAGCTTGATTTGAGAGAACTTTGTTACTGGCTTGAAATTTTCTCCTTTAGTATATGCATAGGTTTTCTCTTATCATTGAGAATTCTCCAGAGACAAAAATTTACATTTGTATATAAGCTGAAAATTAGGACTTATCATTATTTCCTCGAAATCATCCCTAACACGAAACTGGTTACAAATCATTACTCAGTTGTGATGGAGTGAGAGAGGGTTCAAAACAACCCATAGGATTGACTTGTAATTTAGGCCTAGGGATATTTTTTCCACTTGAAAATTTGCTAGAATTATGAAAAATTCACCGAAACAACAAGAAAACAGAACAAAATATATAGAACTTGAAAGACAGAAAGTAAGATACTGAAGAAATGTTACAGTATCAACATGGGGACTTATACCTGAATCTAAGCTTTAAAAACCAGTACTAGTTACAGACTCAGATTCACGATACAATCTCACGCTGAGACATGGCGCAGACACCTGTATTGACATAAGTCCATGTATAGTTCCGTTCCCAAGTAAGAAAGCCTTCAACATTTTAAAATGAACACGAGTAGGATGACAACAGCGGATGGTGCTATCATCTTACCACCATCTCTAAGGCTGACAATGAATAAGAAAAAGCACTTGCTAAAAGACAGTCATTACCTAAAGATGTCTCGGGAGTAATAGGTCCAAAGTCTGTAGCAGAAAATGAGTAAAAGCAATTAAAAATGTTAATTACATGAGAAAAGTCATCAAATTCTTTTTGAAAATAAACCTTACCAGTGTAGTATTGACTCTAGAGCCAAAAAAAAGTTAAAAATTTCAAGTTTTCAAATGGGAGCATGTAGATATTTGTTCCTATGATACAGTTATATTCTAATTATCTACACATGGTTAGTTACATGTTTCAACCATTTTTTTTTATTAGCTGACAATACAATAGAAAAAATCTTTAGGAGTATGTCTAGTAACATTATGCTTAACAATCATGAGAAAAGAATGTGAATGTATAATTTATAACACAATACATTTGAAAAAAATGCCTTTGGTCATGGTAGATGCAATTGATAACTTTTAGCAGAAATAGTGATGAATAACTAAAAAAGGCAATACTATTCTTTGTTATGAGTCCATTTTCAAAAAAGACCAAGACCTTTGCCCAAACAAGGCTTATAAACTGATATAAAGGCTTATTCAAATGAGTCTGTGGAATTTGTTAGTGCATCTTTGTTATCAGGACAGAAAGGCCCAACTCCAGAGGTTAGGAGACTATGCTGTAGCCAATTAGCTCAAATCCAGTCATTGAAGTCAGGTATGTGAGGTCCTCTTTGTGGACCCATCCAAAGGCAGTGGTACTGTCCAGTTAAGTGAACACTGACTTTTTCACAGTCAGGTTACCCTTAAATTCCTATCCTTCCACTCTCACTCCCTTATATGGCACCTTCCTGCCTCTGTTTATACAATGCCTGCCCATCCCATTAACAAGTCTACAAACTCTACAAATTCCAAGGTCCACAATGCTCTTAAACCATGATTTCCTTCTTTAAGAAGTGTCATATGCTGAACAATTGGTAAAATACCATAAATAGTAGGCCATTGGGAAAGCCATGATGGATTTTTCTATGCAAAAAATCCATCACGACTTTCTCAACAACCCGATATTTGCTCTTGCCCATATTTCTTTGTATCTATTTATGGACAACCTCATACAAGAACAGCTTTCTTCCTCAACTAAGCTAAGTCATTTGTTATTTCTAAAATATCATTCACAGATGATAACAGGCTTTTAATAAAATGCATGACTAATGGAACTAAATATGTCATCTAGTTACCTAATTAGAGAAGTTTTTGCTGAATCAGAATCAAGGAGGAAAAGGAAAATGAATGCCAAAGGAGCAACGAAAATGCCTGGATACCAAGGCAGTCCTTATGTAGGCAGCGTAAGTTACTGACCAGAGTGTTGTCTTGCATGACTTGGGCCTTCACCCTTACAACTCAGAGAGGTTATTAGGTGGCAGGTTGAACTGCTGTCCCTGAATCACATCCCACAGGGTTCTGCAGGGACAAGGAACCACATATGATTTACCTAGTTTGGTCTGAGGTGCCTCTGGGCGTGGTGTGGTTTTATCTTTGGGACGTGGGGGACGTGGACGACGTGTTCTTGTCCGTTGTGATGTTTTTTGAGCTAAAGAAAGGAAAGTAGTTATTGCAGCCTTATGATTCCAGAAACTAAAGAAAGGATTATACGTGGTTCTAGATTTTCTAAAATTTTCCTATATTTTCTCAAGTCTTGAGAAACTTGTCTCTTTGTTTTAGAATTTTCTTCTTGTCATTTATATGTAAGACTATACACACACACACACACAAACATATGTGTACATATATACATATATATATATGTACACATATGTTTACTGACAGTTCTTTTGAGAAAGAAAGCATTATTTTGAGAGTTTGAAAACTTTATTAATTGTTGGTAGCAGATAATCAAAGAAGGTTCAGACTCCAGGTAAGTTAGACATACAGCATGTAGACATCAACTGCTTTTGAGAGATTGTATATAGAAGTTATTTGGCTGAGACATATATGTCATTAAAAATTACTAGAATAAGCACATCAATTTTTAAATATTGTAGACAAAAATGTTTCGTGTATCTTTTTAAAAAAAGCAATATATCCACATAATTATAATTGATGTTTACGAGGCAGATATTCCTAATTGTATTTGAAATTCAGCTTTAACGTAGAACACTGAACAGGCTCCGCAGAGAATCATTGAATCTAGATAATACGGGAAATAGATGCTCTGAACTAGAGGTATACAGTCTTATAACCAAGTAACTTGTTTAAATACCTTCAATGCACTCAAAATAAAGAATGTAGTTTAATGGAAGTGAGGATGGTGAGAAAAACATAAAAGAGAAGAACCTGGACCAAGATAATGATAGACTAGACTGGACAATGAGCAGACAAAAAGCACTTGCTGAAAAACATCAAAAGTCATTACCTACTGTTGTCACTGGAGCCTCGGTTCTCAAAGTTACAGGTTCAATGTCTGTGGCAGAAACGAACCAAAAGCAATATAATAAACAATGAAGATTAAAAATAATAGAACAAGAAAATGATCTTACTAATGAATCTTAACATTAAAATGTTTAGAAGGAATTTCTGAACTCTGAGTAAATAGCATTTCTTCTCCAATAACTGGCCGAACTTGTGTATCTATTTCTTTCACAAAATAGCCATACTCTTTGCATTTTGCATTCCTATGAGGTCAATGAAAAGTATTTTTCTGTGTTTAATTATCTGATTCATTATATTAAAAAATCTGGCTCTAAGAAACTCTTCATTGTTTTGTATATAATTTTAAGTCACTCTAAAATCTTACGAAAGTTTCTGTTGGCATTTGAAAGGCTTTCATCACCACTATGAACCTGTTGGGAGGGTAGGAAGGAGAATTAGGAGAAAGTTCTATATCAGTCTGTTTACTGGAGATGTGTGACAGTTGTGCAAAGGTAATCTTGCTTCCCTTCTCCCCTTACTTATTCATTTATTTCAAATAGATAATTAGAAGATGACTATTCAAGTGAGGAAGAAAAATGATTAAGAAAAAAAAAGTCTTAATGAGAAACACTTAACTCTTTTCTGAATAAGAAAGATTTCTATAATTCTATCATATTTGGAAATGATTATGCATAGGTAGGAAATTAAGAACTACAATTCATAGATAGGAAATTAAGAATTATGTAACATTTACATTAATCTAGAAGACTAAATGTAATATTCAAGCATCTCACTACCAAAATCTTTTAAGCATTTATATGAAGTCTGACTTTCTCTGATTGTTCAAGCCTGCATAGCATTAAGTTGACTTAAGGCAACCTGAATTTAAGAGCATATTTTGAACTAATGTCACACAGAAGAGATGGAGGAAGCCAGGGAAACAAGTTTATAACTGATTATCTTCAAACAAAAAGAGGCCACCCCTATTTTATTTGGAATTTAGTGACATAAGATAAATTTATCTTAAAGGAAGTTCCTGTTGCATTGGAATAGCTTGAAAGAGAGAAAGAAAGAACTTTTGCACATACACACACACAAAACCAATTATGCACTGTCACACTCCTTACAAACACAATGAGGACTAGCTTCTACCAGCTTTTTCATTGTTTCTCTGTTCACATCCATAGATTGTACACATACAGGCTAAGATTTCAAGAATGTCCTGGTTTGAAGGACGGATAGACAGAGCATCTGTGATTCTTGAAAGATTCAAGTGCTGACAACAAAATGAATGCTCTGAAGGTGATCAGAGAAGGAATAACATTCAGGTGTCATCAACTAAGCAGCAGATACAAGAATGCTTAACTTGATGTTAAAAAGGCTCCAGTTGAGCTCCAGTTGAATGTAGCAAACAATTTTTGGAAGTGAATGACAAAAAGCAATGAATGACAATTGTGCATATGAGAGAATACTAACCATGACAAAAGAAAGGGATAAGCTCAGAAAAACATGGGCCAAGCAAGAAGGAAGAGGACATTGTTACCTAGGCTTGTTGAGGGAACTTCAATCTCAAATGGAACAGGCTCAAAGACTGCATCATTAAAAAAACAGACAAACAAGCAAAACAAACAAAAACACACACTGATACCAGCAATAAAACTAAGCCAAAACTTTTAGGTACTCATTGAGGTTTAATTCAGAAGATACAGAACCTGGTTTATTCTAGGTTGATATGAATTGCCTTCTAGATGTTTATTATGAAAGATGCTCCCTCAGCAAATGATTGGGTCATCAGAAAAGTCATGCCATGCTTTTCTATGCAAAAATGCATGATGACTTTTCTTATTACCTGATAGAATTTTATATCAAATGGAATAGGAGAAAATTTGAGTTGTAAAACAGTTTTGGGGCCAGGCCATAGGCTGGTGGTTATGTGAACTGGATCCCACATGACCAACCACACAGTTTAAGTCCTGGACCAGGCTGCTTGAGAAACGTGCCAGGTGCATATACATGTGAGCCCAGCATCCCACAAGGAGGGAGAGATGGAGAAAGGATTGCAGCATGGCCAGGCCCTATTGAAGGGGATGCTTTCTCACTTCCTTTCTCTCTCTTGTGCAGGTCAAATTCTCTCTGGCAAACTGAAACCAACCAACTAAAAAAACAAAAACAAAAACAAAAACAAAAACAAAAGACAGTTAACTTAAGAACTGTTGCATAAAAATCTTGTGTGGTAAAAACCATTCCCTGGAAGTTACTGTATAAAATACCAACTGGATATTATTAACAAGCCTTTTTCCACTTGTGTCTTAAAGGAAGAACACAGTGTCAATCTCCTACTGTACTGTCTACTGGGAGTTACTAAAACAACTTTCAAAAATGTTCCAGATACAAGCCAACCCTGGTGGTACAGTTAAAGGGAAGCAAACAGAACTGTAGTGCTGGAAGCTACATGGCTGACTGCGGGCTCGGATGCCCAGACGGGGGGAAAAAGGCAAGTGTAAATACACATGTCTAATGTCTTGAGACACTGAAAGCTGGGGAAAGGGCATTTCTGTGTGACATGACCCTGACAAGGGTGACTCCCCCTCACATGTGTACACACACAGTCTCAGGAATAAAATAAACAACAACAAAAAGTTTAAGATACAAAAAAAAAATGCTTATAGTCATTACAAATTCACAAAACAAGATCTAGAAATGCTTTAAGAAAATGAAATCTTTTAGACAATCAAATGTTACATTTACTAATTTCTTACACATTATTTTCTCTACTTAGCATTCAAAGAACAGTATGGCTACTTTGAGAAGATAATGAATGAAAGGGTGGTATTTCGTAGGCTTTATATGACATGGCTAATGACAAACATTTTCAGCAACATTTCCAAAGAAAAAGGCTAGTTAAGCTAGAGCACTGCAAATTGGGTTTACCAGAATGAGTTGATGGCACGTCTAGTTTTGCTGTGGTTTTAGGTTTTGGAAGTAAATTCTTTGGTGGTTTCAAATTGGAAGAAAAAAGGGTGCTGTAATTAGTGTCATAGCTGAGCGGTGAACATGAAGACAGATCTTACTTACACACCACTTTCCTATTTAGAAATCACTGGAAGTAATGATCACCAGGTTGGATTTAAGGTGTATCTGATCTGTGTGTGAGTTTAGGTCTCTTGGGTAGTTTTGATGCTAAACAATGTTTTTTAAAAGTAGCATAATAGTCATGGCTGAGGCTACCAATATTAAGGACATGTATATTAAACAGGCACTATATAAACTCAGTGATTATATAAAAATTAATTCCTGGAAGGTGGGAAAGATGTCCGTTTTAACTATATGGATATCTATATGGACTATTGAATTATTAGTTTTTCCCTGAAAGGAGAAAATCTTTGTGAAATGTTCAATAACATGTCTTAGAGCAAAAGTAATAAAAATTGTCATAAAACATTTTTCCTACATAATTTTAGAAAAGACAAAGTATATTAGTTCTATTTCTTTGATTGATAGCTTTTGTACAATATAAAAACAGTAAAGTAGAAATCCAACACTTGCTCAGGAGGAGACTTGGAAAACAATCTATAAGTACTTAAAATTACACACGAGAAATAATGTTACATGACTACTGATTTCTGAAATGCCCCAAAGTAAAGCGGTAATAGATTACTAATTCTGAGAAATAATGATGAAATAATTATAAAGAAGTATTACTAAAAATAATAAAGCCAGTTTAAGACTTTTAATGCTCTCAAGTAACAAAGCTTTGTATTGGATCCTAGACAAGGAATAGTTTTTATATCTTATTTAATCATATTCGTAAACACTTTTCAAATAAACAAAAAGCTAAAGAGCCCATTATTCCATGCAAGTTTTTAGAAGGAAAAAGTTCTTATAAGTTGAATGAGTAAAGCAATGAAGTGATGACCACAGCACTGAAATAAAATTGGCCACTCATTCAGTCCAGAATGAGCACAGAAGCCCCTGAGAAGAGTTGATAGCTTTCTCAACACCAGGATACATGATGGGAGAGCATAGGGTCAGTGAGAACAGGAAGTCATGTCCAAGACCACAGACCTCCCCGAAATGAGCACATCGCGTTCTCCTAGAAGAACGCTTCTATCTTCAGCCTCTTCAGACCAGATAGGAAATGAAGGGGAAGCATGGAATGAGATGGTGAGGGAGTGGTAGAACTGCAGTCATGCCTGGGGTGGAAAGTGGAAAAAGCAAAAGTGACAACCCGTGAAAGCAAGTGGAGTGGGAGGAATTACCACTTGTTGGCACCAAGGGCTCCAGCTGTACTGTGGCTGGTTCCAGAGCTATAGGAGCAAAAATCAAAAACACTAATTATACCAACACTGGCATCTGGAGGAAGGAAACGTTATGCCTCAAGCTAGCAGGTTTGCCCTAAACTGTGTGCTTTCTCTGTGATTTTTCCCTTTTATTTTTCTGATTTATCCTGCTGGCATATGTACTCACTGGAGAAAGAGAGAGGGAGAATGAGAAATAACTCCCTGAGGGGGAGGGCCATGCCTCAATCCCTTCTCCATTCTCCTCTGGAAATTTTGGGCACACATGCACATGTGCCCAGCATGGTCTTCAAGCTGCCAGGTCTGGGACTCAAATTGTGTTTGACCAGGTGGGAGTCCAGTGTTTTACCCACCACACCACCTGCTGGCCCTAGATGTACCTTATTTTAAGGTACCTTATCTAAAGTACCTTATTTTAACAATATATTTTGCAGGTCAGATTCCTGTGGTGCATACCTAATTACAAATAAAAATATGTATTGAGTTCCTGGAAAAGTCATGATGCATTTTTGCATAGAAAAAAATGTCATGACTTTCCCAACGACCATGTACACATGCTTGGTGTGTTTTTCAAGCCACTGGTCCTGGACTCAAACCACATGGTTGGCCATGTGGAAGCCAGCTGCCTTGACCACCAAGCACAGCTGGCTCCACATATTTCACCTTCTATGTTAACTGAAACACTGGATATCACATTTACCAGGTGTGAACTTGGGCACTTCTGGACTACGTGTGGTTTTAGGACGGGTGCGACGACCTGGTTGTTTCATCTTTGGTGGAGCTAGAGAAAGAAAATTAGCTAGTTAATATGAAAAGGGTGGCTACAAACTGACAATGCACATGTCTCAGAAGCATGGTGAAGCCTTCAATTTATTGTGGATATATATCCTTCTGTTTTGCAACCTTGCATCATTTAGCCAGTTAAATGAGGTATTGAATAAAGTTTTAAAATTTTGATAAAAAATTTATTAACTGCTCAAGAGATCTCCCATTCTTCCATTTTTAGATAGAAAGTCTCAAAAAAACTTGTCTATCATAGAGAAAACAGTCACATAAAAATATTGAAGATTTATATTTCACAGGAACATGATGAGAATGATTGCCTTTAAAAAGCAATTGGGAAAACCATAAACATTTATTTGGCCTAAGATTCACGGGAGATTTTAACTTAACATTGAGCAAACCTCTACAAGTTAACGATACATGTAAAGAAGCTTTTAATTCAGAAATTATTTCAGGGTGGCAACTTCCGAAAAGATATAGTTTATAATCAATATATATATCCACAGACATTTACTTTTTCCCCGTATGAACGTTTATCCATGTATTAATCTATTAATGCCAGCCTGTCAACCAAGACATCTGCAGACAGAAAAAGAGGAAACAAAAGTTATCCACTCAATGATTGTATTACCTAATGTTGTTGTCGAAGGTTTGGTTCCTAGTGTTCCAGGTGCTAAGACTGTGTGAAAAACCATCAAGAAGGAATCAATATCAAAGGAAAAATGATGAAACTTATTTAAATATGGAATACACTTAATTTTAGTCACTAGACTGAGTAATTATAAATGATGGAACTTTTATCTGCGTAAGAAATTCTTTGTCTATTTAATTTGATTCCTATAGAAAATGAACAAAAATGTACCCAGTCAGTTAAGTTTAGAAAGAGAAATGGAAAAAAAAAGGCATGAATCTCATTTGGAATAGGTGAATGTAATAACATAACCAGCAGTTCACGTTCTGAAGGAAAATACAGGTAATTTGCTAATACGGCACCAGAACACATATTTTGCTCTTTTTTTTTTTTGGAGAGATTTTCACTGTAGGGCGCGTGCGCTCGCCAGACAGACAGAGACATAGAGACAGAAAGCGAGAAATCACCCCCCAGGGGGGATGGTCACGCCGCAATCCCTTCTCCTCCATTCTCCTCTCGGAATCTTGGGCACGCATGCACACGCGCCCGGCGTGAGT